GGTTTTTGTTGTTTTGTCTAATGGGACATGCTTTATTTTTCCTAGTGTTCTAGAACTTGGCTTTCGAGAGAATTTGTGGGTTTTTGTTGTTTTGCCTAATGGGTCGAGATTAATTTTTTTTTTTGTAGTATTCTAGGGCTTGGATTGTGGTTTGATGATAAAGGGGTGGAATTGTAGACCCCCCAAAAAAAAGTGAACTTTTTTATCCGTGATGAGCTATGAAAAATAATACTACTATTGTAAAGTGTTACATTAAAGATTTTTGGTAAATTGAAGCAGCAAGTGATTGTCATTGGTTGGAATAAGAAAGTGTTCTTGCTCAATCTTATTGTAATTGTGCTTGTGAATTTGTGTTTTCTAATGCCTAATGAGCTACCATAAAAGAAAATTTGTTAAGATAATGGAGCATTTCTTAATTGAATGATTAATAAGGAGAGGGACTGCCAATTTGCCAGCCAAAGGGGATAAGGACGGGCAGGGAAAAGAAAATGATTCTGGCCCTTTATTTTATACAAGGCATATTTCCGGGGTTACATCCCCTGCCTGATAAAACAATCCCATACATCTGCATTTTCTGGAATCAAGCTAATCCGAGTATTGCCCCACATGCCGCATAGCTCCCATAGGAGGTGGAGAGAGTATGGTACGGGGTTTGATAAAATAATAAGCTTGCTGGAATTTGTCTGAAATTGTGTTTTTACATTTCTGTGTAAAATTTGCTTAGGGCAACTGATAGAGCGGGATGTTTTTGTTTCTTTTATTGATAAGTTAGTTAGCATGGGATGTGTTAGTTTAATAGATTTTGAAGTTTAAACACCTAAAAGCACTTCGAAGGTTATAGTGAAGTGTAGAGCACTGCGTTAAAAAGAATGGCTTCTGTTGGCTGAGAATATCCCAAGTGAAAACTGGAGACTGATCAGTCCAGTAGTGTGCTATAAACCTTTTGACTTCTATAGTTCTTTGTGGTTGGATTATGCAATCATTAATAAATTTGCTTAGTTTTAATGGGGAAAGTAATCTGAAGATCTGACTCATGCAGCTCAATTATAAATATAAGTATGCTACTGTTGATGATAAGTCGAAACATATGATCTTATTTCTTCACCCTTTATGATCTATTGAAAAGTGAAAACTATGGATGATATGCATTTAGAGGAGGAACTTTTAGTCATAGAATGATGAATTGCAAATTTATACTATGGCAATGCTTCAACTTGCAAATTTATCCTATGACAATGCTTCAATTATATTGAATTTGCATATGCAGGAGGACTAGTTCGTCTTTAAATAAAGAAGCATTACACTCGTCAAGTTTATCGGAGTCCTCCGAACTGAAACTCCCTGATGCATCACTTCTATTAAATTCACCTACAATGCCAGGCCATCTTGGACACAATACTGACCATTCTTCCCTAGTTGCAGCAGCCATGGCTGAAAATGCAACACGGAAACGGGATATAAAGGTATCAGCATCCACTTATCCACGCAGTAAGATTCCTAAAGGAACTTTGCCTCACATGAAGAATGTCCCTGAAACAGGAAGTGGTCTTCTGCTCCCACCTCAACTTACCGGAAGGTCAGTTGTATACTGAAATTTTGAGTCTCATTGCATGCTCTGTATTAAGTTCGTCTATTTATGCAAATCGTATCATGTATCATTATTTGTTCTGTTTATTGTTTGTTCTTATCAGGGGCGGCTCTAAGGCTTGGCCAGTGAGGCCATTGCCTTGGGCCTCAAAAATTTGAAGGCCCCAAATTTGTTTAAATTATTATTATTAATTTTATTATATATTAATATAGTTTATATAAATAAAATTGTTATGGTATATTTTTTATTTTATTTATTTGAGAGTATTTTTTACCAATAAGTTCATAAATTCTCATAATATTTTCACTCATTATTTGATATATTTGTTTTAACTTCAAATTTTAAATTATATCCTTTTTATATTGGAACTAAGTTATATATATTGATAACATAATGATTTTTTTCAATCTTTTCTTGAACTACGTGAACACAAAAATATTCATGCACAA